AAAGAAGGTTCCCAACCCGAGCTCTGTAGAAAAAATAATGAGGGCTCAACCAGGAGCTCGTCTTATTCCTTCCTCTCCCTGGACCTAAGACAAGAGAGGTTTTTCTATTTTGTCATTGCTCTACTGCAGTGGTCGGCAAACCGCGACTCGCGAGCCACATGTGGCTCTTTGGCCCCTTGAGTGTGGCTCTTCCACAAAATACCACGTGCGGGCGCGCACATACAGTGCGATTGAAACTTCGTGGCCCGTGCGCAGAAGTCCATTTCGGCCTGGGCGAGTCTATTTTGAAGAAGTGGGGGGTGTCGGTCAGTCGGTGGGGCGAGGGGAGACACGGCGCAGGCGGGCCACAGGATACGCAGTGCGGGGGAGGCGCGCGATTCCTGCAGGAGGTGAGTGAGCCAGTTAGCAGTCTCTTTGTGCAGTGGTTAGTGCTAGTCGCGTCTGCAAATCGCGCGCGGGTGACAAAAGTACCTACTAGAAGCATAAAGTTATCTGTATTTTTCCAACCAGCTGCAAATCCTACAGGTATTTTTGTCAACAGTTTAAGAATTGTAATTCTTTTGTGTTGGTGGCTTTATTATTATAAAACGAAACATTTTTTTAGGTGCCCTGTTTGAGATGGCTACAAAGAAGAAGCAAAGAAAAACAGAAAACGAAAACCGTGAATTTAAAGTTGAATGTACCTACCTATATAGTTTCAGTTTAAAAAATTTGGCTCTCAAAAGAAATTTCAATCGTGTACTATTGATATTTGGCTCTGTTGACTAATGAGTTTGCTGACCACTGCTTTACTGAATAGATCATTGGTTTTTCTGGCATTGCAAGTGGTGAGTGGGAACCTTTTCTCTGTCCCCTACACATAGACATCAGTGGGTATGATGTCTCTCTGGGAGCAGCATTAGGGGAATTATGCTGTTGGGCAGGTCCTATGCCTGGGATAGACTGTCCTGCTGCTGGAACTCACAGGAGAGCTCAGAAATGAGACCAGTTGGGAGAAGAGCCTCTAAAGTAGCATCAAGTTCTTGGAGAAAATCACTTTTGTAAGTTTTATATTTTCAGATTGAAAAAATTGCTTAACCTATTGGGATGACATTGGCTAGGAAAATTATATAAGATTCAAGTGTACAATTCTATAACACGTCATGTGTACATTGTATTGTGTGTTCCCTACCCAAAGTCTCCTTCCATCACTATTTAATCCTCCCCTTTCCCCCCTTCTACCTCTGCACACCCCCCTTTCCCTCTGGTAATCCCCATGCTGTTGCCAGAGTCTGTGTTGCTTAATCCCTCCCCCTGTTTTCATCCAGTCTCCCTTCTGACAGCTGTCAGTCTGTTCTCTATATCTGAGTCTTTTTATACTTTGTTAGCTTTTTTTCTTCCTTAGATTCCACAGGTAAATGAAATCAAGTGATATTTGTGTTTTTCTTGCTGGTTTATTCACTTAGCATAATGCTCTCCGGGTCCATCCGTGCTGTCACAGAGGATAAGATTTCCTTCATTTTTATGGCTGAGTAATACTCAACTGAGTTGGACCACGGCTTTTTTATCCACTCGCCTACTGATGGGCACTTGAGCTTCTTCCAAATCCGGGCTCTTGTAGATAATGCTGCAATGCACGCAGGGGGGCCTATTTTCTTTTGAATTAGTGCTTTGAATTTCTTCGGTATAATCCCAGAAGTGAAGTCACTGGGTCAGGAGCCAGTTGTATTTTTAAGTTTAGAGGAAACTGCATGGTGACACTTGTCATTTGGGCCTTTATTTGATGATAGCCATTCTGACCGGTGTGAGGTGATTTTTCAGTGTGGTTTTAATTTGCATTTTTCATATGTGTATTGGCCATCTGTATGTCCTCTTTGGGGAAGTATCTATCCATGTCCTTTGCCCTTTTTTAAAAAAATATATAAGCTATTTTCTTTGTTGTTTTTTATTTCATATTTTTAAATCCGCACCGGCAGGTATGTTTTTTACTGATTTTGGAGAGATAGCTAGGGTGGGAGAGAGAGAGAGAAAAAAACATATGTTGGTTGACTCCTATTCACACCTCAATTGTGAATCAAACACAAAACTGGGGCATGTACCCTAATCGGGAACTGAGCCCACCACCTTTTTAAAATTATTTTTTTGGTGTTGGGTTGTATAAATTCTTTATAAATTTTGGGTAATAGCCCCTTACCAGGGGTGTCATTGGTGAATACGTTCTCCCACTGAGTTGTCTGCCTTTTTATTTTGTTGATGGTTTCCTTTTAGTTTGATGCAGTCTCATTTGTTTATTTTTTCTTTTTTTCCTCTTTCCCGTGGAGGCATATCAGAAGAAGTATTGCTAGGAGAAATGTCCACGATTTTATTGCCAGTTTTTTCGGCTAGGATTTTTATGGTTTTGAGTCTTACATTTAAGTCTTTTATTCTTGTGTGTGGTGTAAGATGCTGTTCTAGTTTCTTCTTCTTCTTCTTCTTCTTCTTCTTCTTCTTCTTCTTCTTCTTCTTCTTCTTCTTCTTCTTCTTCTTCTTCTTCTTCTTCTTCTTCTTCTCCTCCTCCTCCTCCTCCTCCTCCTCCTCCTCCTCCTCCTTTTTTGCATTTTCTTAGCATCATTTATTGAATATACTATCTTTACTTTATTGTGTATTCTTGCCTCCTTTGTCAAATATTCCATGACCATAAAGGCATGGGTTTATTTCTGTGCTCTCTGTTCCGTTCCAATGATTTATATACTGTTGTTATGCCTGGACTATACTGTTTTGATTACTATAGCCTTGTAGTACAGTTGGATATTAGATAGTCTGATTCATCCACATTTGTTCTTCCTCATGATTGCTGTTGCTATTCAGGGTGTTTTGTCGTTCCATATAAATTTGTTGAATATTTGTACTAGTTATGTGAGATACACCATTGGTATCTCAATAGGAATTGCATTAAATCTATAGATTGCTTTGTGTAGTATGGACGTTTTAATGATTTTCATTTTTCCTATCCATAAACACCATATATGCTGCTGCTTATAGTTTACATTATAATTACAGTTTACATTTAATTTTATTTTGTATTAGTTTCAGGTGTGGAACATAGTGTTTAGACAAATTTTACAGTTCTCTGCCTGATATTTTCAGTACCCCCAAGACCCCTTATGTATATTGGAATCATGTGCCACTTCAACATAAAAATATTGCAGATTTCAATAAAGGGCCCTGCACATGCCAAGTCTTAAATTGTTCCTCAAGGTCCAGGCCCCTGTTAGAGTGTCACAATTCTACCGGAAAGACTTCTTTTGAGTGTGAGCTTATGACTTCAATATACGTGTCTATGTGTCCTAAAAATCAGTATGAAGTAACCCTCAGGCTCAAGAGTAGAGGACTTTTGTAGAGGGCTACGTTGCCCTGTCTTGCTCATGCCTGAGCTCTAACTCTAACGTCCTATCTCCATGAAATGAGAGAGGCAAAAGAAGGTCAAACTGAGTTACTAACAAATATTATAAAAACAAATGATCATTCATACTCCTTCATAAGAATATTTTCATTCATTCAGGTGTATCTGACTACTTCTAAGAATTTGGAGTACTTCAGGACAATATGGCCAAGTACATTTTCTTCCAAGTTGAATTTCCACACAATGCCTGTTGGTGATGAGAATAGAAGAGAAAGCTACCAGGCCCTTATTGTATTCATAGTTATGAGTCTTCTCTCTTAGCCGAGACCAGCGCGGCTAGAGAGTGGATGAGTCCTGAGTAGGGGTGACTGGGTGTTGAGAAAAAGAAAGAGACAGTAGGGAGAGCTGAGACCAGGTGGGACACCATTCTCGGGTGGAGAGACAGTGAGAGACCTGAGCTAGTGCAGTGCGTTTATCATATACAGCAGGATACCAGAAAGTGTTACTACAGTTTAAGACAAAGGAAATTATGTGAAGTCATGGTAAAAGATCAAGCTGCAATTCTTCATTCTTGTGGCTTCTCACAATCCTCAGGCCTGACTGGACCCTGATAATTGCATCCCCACCTGGCGCCTGGCCGAACATAGATATACACCCACCCCCTGGCGCCTGAGCTAAAGGTCAGGACTGATGACATCCCTGCCTTTGGCAAGGTATGCCTCCAGGACATGGCTTTGCTGACTCAGCCGATGACCCTTGGCTCAGGCGCTCCCTACAATAGTCATTAAAACTTTAGGCAGACATGACAGTATGCTTCATGGACTGCTGCATCAAATGGTGGTTATAATGGAGATGAGTCTTCTCACAAGGAATTGATGGGCTTAAAATAGAAGTATTTTAATTTATTAATATAGAAGTTATTCAAGGTGCTCTTTACCCTGACATTAGAGAACAATGAAGACTTGAAGTGATCACAATAAAATAATATCAATAAATTTCATGTGTTCATGAGGGAAGGAGTGTGGCAAATAAATAATGGTTTTACAATCAAGTGGTAGACTGAATGTTGGGGACCACATGTCCTATGTGAACTTCTTTTTAAAAAAATATGTATTTTATTGATTTTGTACAGAGAGGAAGGGAGAGGGATAGAGTCAGAAACAGCCCTAACCAGTTTGGCTCAATGGATAGAGCATCGGCCTGCAGACTCAAGGGTCCCAGGTTCAGTTCTGGTCAAGGGCATGTACCTGGGTTGTGGGCATATCCCCAGTGGGGGGTGTGCAAGAGGTAGCTGATGGATGTTTCTCTCTCATCGATGTTTCTATCTCTCTATCCCTCTCCCTTCCTCTCTGTAAATATCAATAATATATATATATTTTTAAAAAAAGAGTCAGAAACTTTGATGAGAGAAAAGTATTGATTAGCTGCCTCCTGCACACCCCCTACTGGGGATGTGCCCGCAACCAAGGTACATGCCCTTGACCGGAATCGAACCTGGGACCCTTCACTCTGCAGGCCGACGCTCTATCCATTGAGCCAAACACTTTAGGGCCTATGTGAACTTCTTATGAATTATGTATAGATCCCCAGTGCTGTCTGTCTCACCCATTCTCCTATATGCATATGTGGGATGTTTTAGGACTCAGTGGCCTTTGAGGATGTTAATGTGGAGTTCACCATGGAGGAGTGGGCTTTCCTGGATCCGACCCAGAAGAAACTCTACACAGATGTGATGCTGAAAACCTTCTGGAACCTGGCATCAGTAGGTAGTTATAGCAAATTCTTTTTTTAAAAAAATATTTTTATTGATTTTAGAGAGGAAGGAGTGGGAGATTGAAAAATCAATGATAAGAGAGAATCACTGACTTGCTACCTCCTGTGCACCTCACACTGGGGATCTAGCCTGCAAACTGGGACTACTGGGAATTGACCTGTGACCTCCCAGTTCATAGATTGACCGTCAACCACATAGCGACTCTGGCCTACAACAACTTGTTACTTATTTAGTGAATTAGAAAACTAATGTTGCTTGCTCATCAATGCTGTTTCAAGAACTGAAATATCGAAAGGGAATACATTGGTAATTAAATTAGGATTGATCACAGCTCATTGTGTATCTAAAACCTAACCATTTTTTATATTATTTAATAATTTATAATGCTTTTTCTAGTATGTATTTTAGAAGAAAAATGTGAAGGCCATGTCAGTGAAGATCAGTATGAAAATCATGAGATGAATCTTAGGTGAGTCTCATTGACATGAGAAAGCATTAAGAGCACCTTTGTGTTTTTTTACACATGTTTTTACATATTTATTTTATTTATTTATATATTTAATTTTTAAAATTTATTTCAGAGAGATAGGGAGAGGGAGAAAGAGAGACAGACATCTATGATGAGAGAGAATTATTGAAGGCTGCCTCCTGTACGTCCCACACTTATAATCAAGCCAAGAACCTGGACATGTGCCCTGACTGGGAATCGAACTGTGACCTCCTGGTTCAGAGGTCGGCGCTCAACCACTGAGCCACGCCGATGGTGTGAAAATATATTTTTATTGATTTTAATATATGGAGATGAGAGGGAGAAATAGAAATATTGATTGACTACCCCCTGCATGCCCTGTACTGGGATTAATAAGTCTGAAGTTTGGCCATGGTTTCTTTTGGGGCATTGAACTGGCAACTCCTTGGTGGGTGGGTTCATGCTGAACCACTGAGCAGCAAAACATTCTTAAAAACAGGTAATCCAATTGTATCAGCCCAGTTTCAAATTTATTGACTCTTAGAATAATCTCATCAAAATGTTTTTTTCTGAAATATGACCTACTATTTAGTGTATAAACAATAAACACACTTGGAAACAATATATAGAAGTACCATTAATGAATATAAGTGTTTTTATAATATCTACGATTCAGCTTATTTCAAAGGTTTTAGGATATCCACTTTCAAAAATCAGAAGGTACAGAAACCTGGCACTTTCCTTGAAAACAGTAAAAATGTCATTGTCATGCTATTAATAAATATTAAATCGTTAACACTATTAATAATATGGTTCTGATTTTTACAGCAGTCATATGGTAGAGAGACTCTGTACAAGGAAGGATGGTTGTCAATGCAGAGAAAACTTCAGCCAGATTCCAAATCATAATGAGAAGAAGGCAACTCTTACTGAAATAAAACAACCTAAATACAGGTTGTGTAGGCAAATCTTCATGCGTTATTTATCCTTGAATAACCACCTGAGCTCTCACATTGGACCCAAACTATACCTGTGTCAGGAATATGAAGAAAACTCTTATAAATGTATGGAACCTGAGAAAGCTTTTAAGCCTCACCAACATATTCAAAGACATGAAGGCAGTCCCAGTGGGAAAGCTTTTCACTATTCAGCTTCCCTTAGAAATCATGAAAGAATGCATATTCCTGGGAAACCGTATGAGTGTAAGCAATGTGGGAAAGTCTTTAATCATCTCAGTTACTTTAAACTTCACAAAAACACTCATAGTGGAGAGAAACCATATCAGAGTAAGCAATTTGGCAAAGCTTTCAGTTCTTCCAAGTACTCTGGAGAAAATGAAAGAACACACACTGCAGAAAAGCCCTATCAATGTAAGAAATCTGGCAAAGCTTTCAGTTCCACTTCTCTTAGAAATCCTGAAAGAACACATCCTGGTGAGAAACGTGATGAATATAAGGAATGTGGGAAAATCTTCAGTTGGCTCAGCTCTCTTGAAACACATAAAAGAAGTCATGACAGAAAGAAGCCTCATGAATGTAAGGAATGTGGTAAAACATTTTCTTATCCCTCTTTCCTTAGAATTCATGAAATAATTCATACCCAGGAAAAACCCTATGAATGTAAGCTTTGTGGTAAAGTTTTCTCTTATTCAACTTCCCTCCAATATCATAAAATAACTCATAGTGGGGGAAAACCCTATGAATGTAACCAATGTGGGAAAGCCTTCAGTTTTCCCAGCTCTCTTGCAAGACATAAAAGAAGGCATGACGGAAAGAAGCCTCATGGATGTAAAGAATGTGGTAAAACATTCTGTCATCCCTATGCCCTGAGAAAACATGAAAGAACTCATATTGGGACAAAACCCTATGAATGTAATCAATGTGGTAAAGTTTTCAATATCCGATCTTCCCTCCGACGTCATGAAAGAATTCATACTGGGGAAAAACTCTATAAATGTGAGCATTGTGGCAAAACTTTCTTTGATCTAGGTGACCTCCAACGTCATGAAAGAATTCATACTGGGGTAAAACCCTATGAATGTGAGCATTGCGGTAAAGGTTTCTCTTATCCAGATTCCCTCCGAGATCATGAAAGAACTCATACTGGGGAAAAACCATATGAATGTAAGCAATGTGGAAAAGCCTTCAGGTATCCAAAGTCCTGTCGAAGTCATGAAAGAATACATAGTGGAAAAAAGCCCTATGTATGTCAGCAATGTGGTAAACATTTTAGTTTTTCCACATCTCTTAGAAATCATGAAAAAATGCATTCTGGGGAGAAACCCTATGAATGTAAGCAATGTAGGAAAACTTTCAGATATTCCGCTTCTCTTCGAAATCATGAAAGAATGCACACTGGGGAGAAACCTTATGAATGTAAGGAATGTGAGAAAGCCTTTTTTTCTACCAAATGTCTTAGAGAACATGAAAAAACTCATTATGGAAAGAAGCCTCATGAATGCAAGGAATGTGGTAAAACGTTCCTTTATCCCTCTTTCCTTAGAAATCATGAAAGAATGCATACTGGGGAAAAACCCTATGAGTGTAACCATTGTGGTAAAGCTTTCTCTTATTCAACTTCCCTCCGATGTCATGAAAGAACTCATAATAAGGAAAAACCCTATGAATGTAAGCATTGTGGGGATGACTTTCTTCATTCCAGTTCCCTTCAAATTCACAAAAATACCCACAGTGTAGAGAAATCATAATGAATGAAGGAACTCACACTGAAAATAAGCCCTATCATGTAAAGATTGTAGAAAAGCCTTTGACCATCCTAATTCTATTTCTTTTTTTTATCCTCACCTGAGGATATTTTTCCTTTGAGAGAGTGGAAATTAGAGAAAAAGACAGAGCAATATTGATGTGACAGAAACACATTAATTGGTTGCCTTCTGCACACACCCAGACATTTAAGCACACACAGTGGAGAAAAACTCTATGAATGAAAGGATTGTTGTAAAGCTTTCACTTTCTCCAAGTCTCTTAGAAAGCATGGAAGAACACATACTGGGGAAAAACCTTATGATGTAAGCAATTTGGGAAACCTTCATTTGTATCACACATCTTGGAAGACATAAAAGAAGACATGATGGAAATAAGCCTCATGAGAGGGGCTGACCTGGGCCCTGGGGTTGTAGGAGGAGACACCAGGGTGGGATGTAGTACCCATCCAGCCAGCTTCCACCTTATTTTCCCAGGTCTCCACTGGGGTCAGCTGCTGTGTGGTGGCTGCTGGGATGCCCGGGCCCAGGGAGGTGGCCAACCTATGTGCAGTGCGTATCTGCTCTGGGAACTGAGCGCTTCACCTGACCTGCACCTGGCCTCTCAGTCCTGGTTCCATGCACATCCTGGTCACTGAGCTCCACTCTATCCTGCCTGGACACATGGGACGAATCTACCCTTCTTGTGGGTCCCCTGCCTTGGCTCTGAAGGGTTGTGGGACCTGGAGCAGCTACAACAGGCAGGCCAGCCACCAACGTCCCATGGGCAGACCTGTGGCTATCATCCCCAGGGAACCGACTTTGGAGAACAATGGGATGTTTTGAATTTAGGCAGGCATGGTAGGAATGCAAGGATTTTTTGAGTCTCCTTTCTTAGATGGATCCAAAGCAGATTACTAGAATTCAGTGCCCTATTTTACAGTGTACGGAGTGATAGTGTAATTGCAAAAAATCGTTTCTTAAGTATATTGCAACGTTTTTAGGGGAAACATAGTTATGCCTAGATTTAACTGAGTTACCCTGCTGGCACAAAGTAAAATGAGTGACCTTGAAAAATGCAAAGTTGAGACATTAAAGACTAATTTGGATTAATAAATTAATAGAAATATTACTGTGATCTTATCACTATATGAGGTCCATGATGTAGTGGGATCATGTGCTAATCATTTGCTGAACGCTGTTGACCGGCAGTGACTCTTAGATTTAAATATGAAGACTAGGGAGAACCAAGATGGCGGCATAGGTTAACGCGGGAGTTTGCTGCTCTGAACAACTACTTCAAAAGTGAAACCAAAAAACGGAAGGGACATCACCCAGAACCACAGGAACGCTGGCTGAGTGGAAGTCCTACAACTAGGAGGAAAGAGAAACACATACGGACACTCAGAGGAGGCGCAGTGCTGAAGTCAAATTCTGAGGTGCGGAGTGCACGGAGCAGGCTGGCAGCGGAGGGCGCGGTTGGCGTTTTCAATCGGGAGGGAGTCGGAGACTCTGAGCTCCAGATCCGGGCGAGTCTTTAGGGACCCAGACTCAAACGGGAGAAGCGGGACTGTCTGGCTTCGGTCAGAGCGAGTGCAGCTTTCTCTCTGAGCTTTGCAGCGGGTGCTGGGACTCAGAGAGGCAGAGCCCCTGGGGACAGGACTGAGAGCCGCCATAACTGCTCTCTCCGGCCCACCCTGTTGATCCTGTGCGACCCGCCCCGCCCAAGCCCTGCACACAGGCATTTGCCGGATAGCCTCAGGCAAACGCCAGATTAGCACCTCCCTAGAGGACAGAAGTTCTCTCACTGCTGACACAGCTGATTCTCATAGCCACTTGGCCTGGAGGTCAAACCCTCCCTGGAATTAGCTACAACAATCAAGATTTAACTATAAGACTGCGAACAAAGACCACTAGGGGGTGCACCAAGGAAGCATAACAAAATGCGGAGACAAAGAAACAGGACAAAATTGTCAATGGAAGATATAGAGTTCAGAACCACACTTTTAAGGTCTCTCAAGAACTGTTTAGAAGCCGCCGATAAACTTAATGAGATCTACAAGAAAACTAATAAGACCCTCGATCTTATATTGGGGAACCAACTAGAAATTAAGCATACACGGACTGAAATAACGAATATTATACAGACTCCCGACAGCAGACCAGAGGAGCGCAAGAATCAAGTCAATGATTTGAAATGCGAGGAAGCAAAAAACACCCAACCGGAAAAGCAAAATGAAAAAAGAATCCAAAAATGCGAGGATAGTGTAAGGAGCCTCTGGGACAGCTTCAAGAGTACCAACATCAGAATTATAGGGGTGCCAGAAGATGAGAGAGAGCAAGATATTGAAAACCTATTTGAAGAAATAATGACAGAAAACTTCCCCCACCTGGTGAAAGAAATGGACTTACAGGTCCAAGAAGCGCGGAGAACCCCAAACAAAAGGAATCCAAAGAGGACCACACCAAGACACATCATAATTAAAATGCCAAGAGCAAAAGATAAAGAGAGAATCTTAAAAACAGCAAGAGAAAGAAACTCAGTTACCTACAAGGGAATACCCATACGACTGTCAGCTGATTTCTCAACAGAAACTTTGCAGGCCAGAAGGGAGTGGCAAGAAATATTCAAAGTGATGAATAGCAAGAACCTACAACCAAGATTACTTTATCCAGCAAAGCTATCATTCAGAATTGAAGGTCAGATAAAGAGCTTCACAGATAAGGAAAAGCTAAAGGAGTTCATCACCACCAAACCAGGATTATATGAAATGCTGAAAGGTATCCTTTAAGAAGAGGAAGAGGAAGAAAAAGGTAAAGATACAAATTATGAACAACAAATATGCATCTATCAACAAGTGAATCTAAGAATCAAGTGAATAAATAATCTGATGAACAGAATGAACTGTTGATTATAATAGAATCAGGGACATAGAAAGGGAATGGACTGACTATTCCTGGGGGGGAAAGGGGTGTGGGAGATGCGGGAAGAGACTGGACAAAAATCGTGCACCTATGGATGAGGACAGTGGGTGGGGAGTGAGGGCGGAGGGTGGGGCGGGGACTGGGAGGAGGGGAGTTATGGGGGGAAAAAAAAAGAGGAACAAATGTAATAATCTGAACAATAAAGATTTAATTAAAAAAAAAATGAAAAAAAAAATATGAAGACTATCGTTGTAGATATGTGGGCCGTGCCAGCACAGCCAAGGGTGATCCTGAGTGGGGGTGATGAAAGGATTGAGAAAAGACAGACAAGAGAATGAAAGCTGGGTCTCGGTGGGATGCTGCTCCCTGCTGGGGAGACAGTGGCAGCACCCACAAGCCGTGTCTTTATTTTATAGCAGATGCCACGAGGCAAAGTAGGGGCGTGATCAAGTTGTTTACAGCATTCTCGTGAGTTCCAACCCTACTCAACTACATGCACCTGAACTCTAGCACAAGGCACATGGGGCCACGTGTTCGGACCATAGGTTCAAGCTTACAACCATAGCTGTTGGCTATAATTGTGCTGGGAGTACTCTGCCCTCCAGCTCGGACTTGACGTGGACACGAGAGGACTGTGCCCTCTCATTAGTCCGAGGCTTGAACCTGTCCAAAACACTGCAGCCGTGCCCCATAGATATGTAATACTATTTACGTTGGTAAAATTGCTTCAGTGTTTTCTCCAACATTTGGCCTAGTCACTAAAATGTTGTTAAAAATAACAGTGACCCAGGCAGCGTGGTCTGTGGTTGAGCATCCACCTATGAACCAGGAAGTCACGGTTCGACTCCCAGTTGGGACATATGCCCAGGTTGCAGGCTTTATCCCCAGTGTGCAACGTGCAGGAGGCAGCCAGTAAATGATTCTCATCATTGATGTATCTATTGCTCTCTCTGTCTCCCTTCCTCTGTGAAATAAAATATATATATTATTTAAAAATAAGTGAATTAATTGTTGTGGCAGAATGCATGGGAGAATGATCAGCCAGCACTCTGAGGGGAGGAAAGTTTAACCTTTATTTTGCAGATCTGCTAGTCCAAGGGAATTCTGGATCCAAGGCCTGAAATGAACCAATGGGGAGGCTCTGACCTATATATCTCCTCCTGTGGCAGCCCCTGAAAGCCCCTCGCAGCTCCGCCCAAGTCAGTCTTGGCAGGGCCTTGGGGGCATGCCCTGCAGCTCTGCCAAGTCAGAGTGGGGAAGTGAGACTATAGTTTTAACCAGATACTGAACTAGGTTGCAAGGACCCCTGCCCCCACCCCATTTTCCTTTTCAGTTAGAATGAGTGTTATGCTAGTATCATAGACTCTCCAATCAGGGGGATTATTATTGAGATGTGGGGATGAAAAGAGGCCACATGCTAACCTGACAAGTTCAGGGAAGGCCTGTGTGTGATGGCCTTGAAAATTCAGAGAGCTAGAATAACCACAAAGGATGGTCTGAAATTAAACTATTTTAACTAGAAGCAGTTTATGGGAGATAGTCATGTTCCAGGCTAGCATCTCCCTTACCTATGCCTGTCCATTGTCTTTTGCATATAAGATCGCATACCTTGGCAATGTCAGGGTGAATCCCCCTATTTCAGACCCCTCAGTGCACAACCAATGCAGCAGCGCTGAGACCATAGCTCCTCTCATTGTTATTGTTATCATGTTAACTACTAGCTATTAATTACCCTGTACCCAGCTATGTAAAATATATATGTATGCCTATCATTTTACTTTTAATTCTATCCCAGGGATTTACCTGCTTTGCTTCCTCTCAGCTCCCTAATCTATCCGCAATGGATTTCATGTGACCCACTTGGGTATTCTCTTTTGATTGCAATGTATAAAATAAGGCACCAAACTGCCATTCTACGGACATTATCCCAGTTCATTAGATTTTGCCTCCTGGCAATGATCTCATAAAAATTCTCTGCAGGTTTGAATGATTCTTAAATTGATGGAACCCAGTTTTCTGATAAATCTCATTATTGCTGGATTAAACAGTGTAACTGTGCTGGCAGCAGCAATGGCATCAAGTGTCTGACAGGTGGGGTCAGACCCAACCTGGGTTCAGCAACCTTGGTACTTAGTTCTGGTTGGGTAAGTAAGACCCAAAGAGTAAGAGAACATTTACTGGGTAAATTACAGAGGAAGGAGAAGTAAGTCTTAGAGGAAATGGGCTTAGGAAAGGAGTTAAGGAGGTAACAGAAGCGCCCTTGGAGCTTGGGAGCACAAGCTAATGGTAACCTGCCTGGGGGAGGAGGAGAAGGAGGGGGAGGGAAAGGTACAGGTGTGCTCCAGGGAGGGAGAGCGCACTGGGTCCTCCTTTCTAAAGGTTTTAAGGGTGGAGATTTCAGGGAGGTCCCAGGGGAATTCCTGAATGGAATATTCTGTAGCTTTCCAGGTGTGTCCATTCAGGGATGTGGCCTCCACTGATGGATTGGCCGGCACCAGGACAGGGTTCATTATTCAATGCTGCTGGTCCTGATGTCAGCCCTGGCATTGCTGCTTATCTGGGCCTGGAGCTGAAATACAATGAGGCATAGATGTTATCTCTAGGGAGGAAGATCAGGGGGTCCAAACCGCAGGACCAGAGATCTGCTAGAGGAGGAACAGTCACCCTGGGGACAAGGCCCCACCCTACAATTGGTTGCCCATTGCTAGGTACCTGGGCTCTCCACCCTGGTGACCTCTGTCCCTGGCCCATCTCCTTGCTCTGGGTAGGTCTGTGGAACTGCCCACAAGACAACCACAAGTAAGGGGTGGCTCATGGCCTCAGAGGAGCGTGACTGAATCACCAGCGGGAACACATGTTTTCATGTGAAAAACATTTTCTAAAGTTAACCATTCTAAATGCACAGAAGTCACTTTTCACGCTGGAAATGATGGCTTGTTTCTGGTTTCAATGCTCTTTTTGGGGAATCTGGCTGTGGTCTGGAAGGATACCACCCTAAGGCATCCCTGGCCCCTGAGCCTGTGCACCTTTTTGTAAATCCACACACGTCAGACTCCAGCTGTCAACAAAGATGAAAATGGAGCCAGATTCCTTAGGTGCCTTTTCAGTGTGTGTGTTTGCAAGGAAGGACCACTGTTCCCTGGGAATCTCAGCGCTGCCTCTCAGTGCAAAGGTCCCTGGACAGGGATCTGGCTGCTTTGGGCTCAGGCCTGTGCACCTCAGGCGCTAGGGGGCGATGTCGTGAGAAGTGTCGGTCATCTGAGCTGGGCGCCAGGTGGGTGGGGCTATTGGGAGCGGGTGGGGGGGCACCTATAGCTGCAACCGCGTGGAAGGCCTGCTGGCTCCGGCTGAGATCCGGCCGGCACTTTTCTTGCCCTTAAAACCTAAGGTTGCTCTGCCCGCTTGTGTGGAGCTGCGATCTGTAAGGCGTTGGGAGCTGCAGGCGGACTCGGGGGGCCCAGGAACCAGAAATGGTGAGTGTGCGGCCGGGCGCGGGGACGGGGAGGAGGCGCGGGTGGAGCCGCCGTGGCGGGACCGTCTCTCCGCGGTCAGGTCCGGAGCCTGCGGACCCGAGGCGCCGGGGGCTCCGCTGAAACTGCAGGCCCCTCGGGCTCGCAGGGTGGGGCCCAGCCGGGACCCGGGCGTCCAGTGTGTCCCCGCGGCAGGGCCTTGGGCTGCGGAGCGCGTCTGGGCAGCTCTGCACCCTCATCCCCGCGGCTCCGCAGTCGGTGCGGGGACCACGGGGAGGGTCATGGGGACAATGGTGACTCGGTCCCCGCGGTTCGTGCACGGGAGGAGCTGTGGTCTGTGGGGCCCCCTGTCCCTGCTTTCTCCCCAGAAGGACCCCGTTTTCTCCTGAGTTTTGATGTTTGTGGAGCAGGCTCTCAAGTCCACCCCCTGTCCCCCAGGCCTAGGTCTGCAGCAAATGCCTGCACTTCCAGGCTCTCCCCCGAATCCTAACCTGTAGAGAGAGCCTGGGAAGGCACGTGGGCATTGTTTTTACTGTTGTCAGCTGAATCGCGTTGGCAGAGCCACGTCCTGGAAACGCGCCTTGCCAGAGGCAGGAGTGCTGAGAGCTGGACCTTCAGCCGAGGCCCCAGGGGTTGGTTTCGTTATCTAAATCCAGCCACGCACCAGGAATGACAGGGATTTGGGCCCACCCAAGAATGCACATAATCTCCTTTGTCGTGACCTTTAGTAAAACTTCCTGGGTTTTGCCGTATGAAATAAACACGCTGTATTGGCTTTGGGTCCCTATCTCTCCATCAGAGGACAGTGGTCCGACCGGGCCCCAGCATTTTCCTTCCGTCTCTGTGTCTGTCTCTTTCTTTGATTTTCTCAATCCCCAGCAGCCGTCCTACGCAGGAACTGCACCGCTTTCTAGCTGCGCTGGACGCGGAGAAGAGAGAAATATTTACACTAAACCCCATCTTCCCTTCTCTGAGTCACAGCATCTTTATCAGCTATTTGTTTTTGTGGTGCTTTTCAAACTGTTAAAAACAAAATTCAACTAGATAAATTGGAAGGTCTAATTGGCTTCATTCCCCATTCACGAATTGGGCCCCATCCCATCTAGTAAATAGAATCTGATTGGCTGTTCAAAATAGAAGGCTTTTACTATTATAGGCAGAAAGGAAGCGGGAGAGGTCAAAGTGTAGTTAAGTACAGTCCTGCACCCCTGAACCTGGGGAGGACATCTGGAGGCAGTTTTGTTGTTCTCAGTTCTCTTACAAACCTGCAGGGTGTAGCCTGCTACACACCTAGGCCATATGGTGTAGCCCGTGGGTCCTAGACAACAAACCTGTACAACATGCTACTGTACTGAATACTGTAGGCAATTGCAATGCAGTGGTAGTAAGCATTTATGAAAAAGTACAGTAAAAATGTGGTGTGCAAGGTAGGAAATGGTACATCCGTGTGGGGCACTGACCCTGAATGGGCTCCAGGACTGGAGGCTGCTGTGCAGGAGTCAGTGATCGGTGAGTGAATATGAAGGCCTAGGACGTTACTGTGCACGACTGTAGACTTTATCACACTGTACACTTAGGCCAGGAAATTTACAAAAAAACAGATTCTATCAAGCCCAGGAGGCAATGATGCAATCAAAAGGCACAGTCAACACAAGACCTCTGAGGCTGCTGCCCGCATAAAACAGCATACTGCTTCAGAGCAAAGTTTTCTTTCACTAAGAAGAAAGCACACAAAGATGAAGAGGATAGTATAGCAAATACATAAGCCAGTTTCTCATCATCAAGTATTCTATGTAGTGACCATAACTGTATGTGCTGGACTTTCATAGGACTGGCAGCACAGGAAGCTTGTTTACACCTGCGTCATCATAAACATCTGAGTAATGCATTTCCCTATGACAGGGGTGGGCAACCTTTTTGTGCGTGCCAAAACCAGGAAAATCTCTGACTCAAAATTCTTCTGGGTGCCAACCCTAATTTTTTGAGAACATATGACACCTACTTGATATCTCTTAAGGTGTACATATGTGAAGAACCTTGAAAAAATAATAAAATTCATTCGAGCGACAAAAACACTATATGTTTTTTAATGTGTACATGTACACTGATAGTCCGACAGAAAACTTTATGACTCCGTTTGATATCATCAGTGGGACTCTTGCTGCTGCATCACTGATGACAGAGATTTTACATCAGGTTTATATTTTGTGACCTTCAGAGATATGCACGAGCTACTACTTTCATCTGTCAGGCTACTCCTATTACGAGACTTAACAAAATTCATCACTGAGAACAAAGATTCACAATTGTAAATGGAAGATTATAAGAGAGGGTTTTGCTTGCCCGCAAAAGTTACTGGCGTGCCATGTTTGGCATGCATGCCAGGGGTTGCCCACCCCAGTCCTATGACATTGTGATGGGTATAACCTTACTAGGTGACTGCAGTTTTTCAGATCCCTCTAATCTCTTTTTTATAGAAGGGATTTTATTTTTCATTAAGTTACAATTGACATACAACATTATATTAGTTTAAGGCGTACAGCATAATGATTTGATATTTGTATGTATTGTGAAGTGATCATCACAATAAGTCTAATTAGCATCTGTCATTACACATATTTACAGAATATTTTTTTCTTGTAAAGAGAACTTTTAAAATTTCTTCTTAGCAACTTTCACATCTGAAATATAGTATTACTTTTTAAAATATATATTAATATATATTATATATTATATATTATTATATATTATTATATATTATAAAATATATATTAATATATATTTTTAAAATATATATTAATATACATATTAATATATATTATTGATTTTTACAGAGAGGAGGGGAGAGGGATAGAGAGTTAGAAACATCAATGAGACAGAAACATTGATCAGCTGTCTCCTGCATCCTCTGTGCCTGCAACCAAGGTACATGCCCTTGACTGGAATCGAACCTGGGACCCTTCAGTCCACAGGCCGATGCTCTATCCACTGAGCCAAACCAGTTAGGGCAAGAAATATAGCATTACTAACTGCAGTCACCATGCTGTAAGCTGTATTTCCATGACTTATTCTATAACTGGAAGTTCGTACTTTTTGACACCCTTCATCCATTTGACCCCCACCTCACCCCTGTACACCACTCCTGCAACCTCTAGCAACCATCATTCTGTGCTCTGTATCTATAGACTTGCTTTTGTAAAGGTTCCACAGATAAGAGAGAACACGTGGTATTTCTCTTTTTCTGGCTTATTTCACAAAGCATCCTGTCCTCAAAGTCCATGAATGTGTTATTACAAGTGGCAGAATTTCTTTTTCTAATGGGTGAATAATATGGTAATATGCGTCTGTGTGTGTGTATTGCACTATTTTCTGTAGCGGTCAAGCGGAAAGAAGTTAACTAGAAGAGGACGTTCTGCCAGGAAAAGGTGTGAGCCTGCAAGCGGGCCGCGTCAGAACAGTCTTGCAAGCGAGACATTGTTCCGAGGCAGAACTTTCCTTGACGTGATAAATGGTCCATGAGGGCATAGAAAGTTCAGGGGAGGGTGCACTGCTGCAGGTGGAAATAATCTTTATATAACATAGGAAATTAATAGTGTAATGTATATAACTTAGTTCAAATGATCTCACAAGCATGCCTGTTCATCATTGTTACTTGCTGTACTCCCTGAATAAAAGCCATGAGGGCTTTGGGGGCTTTTGCTATTTGCCTGAGCGAGCGGTAGCCCTCTGCTTCTCCGTATCCTGTCGTCTGACTCATCTCCGCATCTCCGTTCACAAAGAACATCAATATTTTCTTTATTTTTATTGCTTAAAGTAGTACATATATCTCCTTTTCCCCCATTGACACACCCTCCCCTGCCCCCAGGACAAGCCCCCACTGCCCAGTGTCCATGTCCATTGGTTATGCTAATTTGCATACACTAGAGGCCCGGTGCAAGAAATTCGTGCACCGGGGGTGGGGGTGGGGGGCTCCCTCAGCCCAGCCTGCCCCTCTCACAGTCTGGGAACCCTTAGTGGATGTCCTACTGACAGCCACAGTCTGGCAGCAGAGGCTGGGAGCAGGCGTCGTGTGTGTGTATGTGTGTGTGTGTGTGTCTGCTGGAGGCCTCTGCCCCCAGCCACACCATGGAGGCTTGGAGCAGGTGCCCCTCTGTGTTGATGTCTCAGGCTCCTGGCCTCCACTGTGTGTTGTTCTCTCCCTTGAGCTGTGGCCAGGGTGGGGTGCTGGCTGCAGACCGCGATTTCCTGCTCATGGATCACCGGATCGCCGGATCGCCGCAGAGACCTGGGGGCAGGCCCTACTGGGTGCTGCCTGCAGGCGGCACTTTTCTGCTCTCCAATCGCCATGGGGTCCTGGCTGGGGGCGGGGCTTAGGCGGCACAGGGGGTCCCGTCTGGGGGTGGGGCTTAGGCAGCACATGGGGGTCCAGGCTGGGAGTGGGGCTTAGGCGGCACACGGGGGTCCAGGCTGGGGGTGGGGCCACACACGGGGCCCAGATGGCAGCTAGCGCTGTCCAGCCCTGCCTGCACAATGCAAATTAGCCGCCATCTTTGTTGGTGGTTAATTTGCCTATCGTGCTGATTAGCCAATTGGAGGCATAGCAAAGGTAAGGTCAATTACCATCTTTGTCTATTATTAGATAGGATACCAGTGCTTTGGTTGACCTCTTACCCCTCTCCCACCTTGGGTGGGCCAACCTCCCTTCTTTCTGAGGTTGCACTCTCTGTTCAGTGTTTCTTAGTCTCTGGATCTATTTCTGTTCATCAGTTTATGTTCATTATATCCCACATATGAGTGTGATCATGTGATATTCATCTTTCTCCAACTGGCTTATTTCGCTTAGCACAATGTTCTCCAGATCCATCCATGCTGTTGCAAATGGTAAAAGTTCCTTCTTTTTTATAGCAGCATAGTATTTCATTGTGTAGATGTACCACAGTTTTTTAATCCACTCATCTGCTGATGGGCACTTAGGCTATTTTCAAATCATGCACCATTTTCTT